ATTTTGTTGATGTAATAAACTCTTTTCAGTCTTTAAAACTTGGTGTTTTCGTAAATTTCTTTCCTATCCAATTGCTCTCAAAAGTAAAAGCCTTTTAAAATTTTATTATAACTGAGGGAGACATTGGTCTAGATCATATTGAAAAAGACCACCTAAATCTGATAAAATTTCTGTTTTGAACAGACATTGCAACACCATAAGTCACTTATCTAGCTTTTCCAACACTATTTTAATGCAGGAGTAGCTAAATTACTGCAACAGTTTGCAAGAAATTATATGTGCTGCCCACCAGATCGCTTCTAAAACATTGACATTTTAGGGAGAAGAAGACATTTATAGTACTAAAAAAAGACTTTGGACATCAATAAAATTATTTCTACAGTAGCATAGGACTTTAAGCAGACAAACATCTGCAAATTCTAACTTGAATCAAACAATTTTTCAGTGGCTGATTTGGTCCAAGTCGAATGGAATTGATATATCTTAAAAAGTGAGCCTTTGCCAAAGGTGGATCTTTTCAAACAAAATAACACAATAGATGTATCTGCTATCTTGCATATGTAGCAAGTATTGTGTACGAGCAGAAAGTTAGAACCATGGTTAGAAAACATTACGATTCCCTGGTAAGCTAGCTAGGTACAATGACTGCCAAAATTAATTGAAACACACATCAATGTGTGCTGTAATTTTCTGTTTTTCGGTCGCTTTCCAAAATAATATTACTTACGTCCCCCTACCCCCCACCCCCAAAAAATATTGAAAGTAAAGAAAAATGTCAAACAAACTACCAGAAAAAGAATACCCCATAGCCCCATTCATTTTTTTAATGTAAATCCAAAGGGGGAGGGTGTATGGCTGATTTGCCTTTGAAAACCCAAGTTGGTGTTTCAAGACTTTTGGCAGTGACTATAACTATTGACTTTCCAACCAAATTCATAGCCTCGACTTCCCATTAAACAGACTTTTCTGCACAATTTTTTATTGTAATGTCCTCAACTAACAAATTTCTCCTATTTTGTTAGAAAATAGAGTAAGTTTTAGTTCTTTCGTACACAAAATCACATTCAATCTTTCTATAAGATCAGTTTATATCTATATTGGAAGTGAACTGTAACTACCAAAATGCCTAATATTGCTAAAGTATTGTAAAATGTCTTCTTAATCTAGCAATCACATGCTTATATATCAGTTTATATTGTATTAACAGTAGAAAGAGAGGATTCGCTAATATAGATGCTCAAAGGAACGGTTGTTGTTTAAAAAAATGTTGGTATTGAAGTAGAATGGTAGTTTGAATAAAGCTTTTGCAAATTGAAAGTTAAACATTTGATCAACACTGCTGGAGACTGTTGTCTCAAAACCGTAATATTCCTCTAGGCATATTTATCAGCATCGCAAGAATGAAGTAGATATAAGATATGCTCTGAAGAGATTACTGCATAAAAAATTTTTGGGATGAGCCAAAAAGCAAATGAAGATTAAATACGTACTTGAAAACTTTAATGGCCTGAAAATTAAAAGGAACAATAATATCATAATTTCCCAGAGATCTCAAAGACCAAAAACTATACTATGGAAACCGCAAGCAAAATTAAAAAAAGGTGTGAGACGCTTGGCAGAAAATCAAGGCAGCTGATTAGGGAAATGTGTAAAATTGTCCTGTTGCAACTACGCCGTTAAAGTTCAAATTGTTGCTTTGATAACAAAAGATTCAACTTTGGATGTTTCAGAAATTTTAGTAGGGAAGCTTATTGGTGTGTACTATCAAAAGGAAACAGTTTTTATGGCCAAAAGAAGGTTAAGATGCTGTACTTCATCCTATTGATTCTGTATACACTATTGTGTATAAACACAGAAAGAAACTACTATACACTTTGAACACGTAAGCATGAAATACACCAGGCAGCCATGAAATAGATCCAGCAGCAAAAGGAATAAGACAAAATTTCATGTAAATTAAATACTATTACATAGAAATTGAAGAGCGCTAACATTTTAATGAATCTTCATCAAGGCTTATAACATGTATTTTTGTTGATGTAATAAACTCTTTTCAGTCTTTAAAACTTGGTGTTTTCGTAAATTTCTTTCCTATCCAATTGCTCTCAAAAGTAAAAGCCTTTTAAAATTTTATTATAACTGAGGGAGACATTGGTCTAGATCATATTGAAAAAGACCACCTAAATCTGATAAAATTTCTGTTTTGAACAGACATTGCAACACCATAAGTCACTTATCTAGCTTTTCCAACACTATTTTAATGCAGGAGTAGCTAAATTACTGCAACAGTTTGCAAGAAATTATATGTGCTGCCCACCAGATCACTTCTAAAACATTGACATTTTAGGGAGAAGAAGACATTTATACTACTGAGAAAAGACTTTGCACATCAATAAAATTATTTCTACGGTAGCATAGGACTTTAAGCAGACAAACATCTGCAAATTCTAACTTGAATCAAACAACTTTCAGTGGCTATTGAATTCCAAAAAATTCCAAAAACCCAAGTTGGTGGTTTCAAGACTTTGGGCAGTGACTATAACTATTGACTTTCCAACCAAATTCATAGCCTTGACTTCCCATTAAACAGACTTTTTTGCACAATTTTTTATTGTTATGTCCTCAACTAACAAATTTCTCCTATTTTGTTAGAAAATAGAGTAAGTTTTAGTTCTTTCGTACACAAAATCACATTCAATCTTTCTATAAGATCAGTTTATATCTATATTTGAAGTGAACTGTAACTAACAAAATGCCTAATATTGCTAAAGTATCGTAAAATGTCTGCTTAATCTAGCAATCACATGCTTATATATCAGTTTATATTGTATTAACAGTAGAAAGAGAGGATTCGCTGATATAGATGCTCAAAGGAACGGTTGTTGTTTACAAAAATATTGGTATTGAAGTAGAATGGTAGTTTGAATAAAGCTTTTGCAAATTGAAAGTTAAACATTGGATCAACACTGCTGGAGACTGTTGTCTCAAAACCGTAATATTCCTCTAGGCATATTTATCAGCATCTCAAGAATGAAGTAGATATAAGATATGCTTTGAAGAGATTACTGCATAAAAAAATTTTAGGATGAGCCAAAAAGCAAATGAAGATTAAATACGTACTTGAAAACTTTAATGGCCTGATAATTAAAAGGAACAATAATATCATAATTTCTTTCCTTTTAATGTTTGCCACTGTTACTCGGAAAATAAACACTAGCATCATTGCCAAGGCGTATGTTGCACAGCCAGAGATCTCAAAGACCAAAAACTATACTATGGAAACCGCAAGCAAAATTAAAAAAAGGTGTGAGACGCTTGGCAGAAAATCAAGGCAGCTGATTAGGGAAATGTGTAAAATTGTCCTGTTGCAACTAAGCCGTTAAAGTTCAAATTGTTGCTTTGATAACAAAAGATTCAACTTTGGATGTTTCAGAAATTTTAGTAGGGAAGCTTATTGGTGTGTACTATCAAAAGGAAACAGTTTTTATGGCCAAAAGAAGGTTAAGATGCTGTACTTCATCCTATTGATTCTGTATACACTATTGTGTATAAACACAGAAAGAAACTACTATACACTTTGAACACGTAAGCATGAAATACACCAGGCAGCCATGAAATAGATCCAGCATCAAAAGGAATAAGACAAAATTTCATGTAAATTAAATATTATTACATAGAAATTGAAGAGCGCTAACATTTTAATGAATCTTCATCAAGGCTTATAACATGTATTTTTGTTGATGTAATAAACTCTTTTCAGTCTTTAAAACTTGGTGTTTTCGTAAATTTCTTTCCTATCCAATTGCTCTCAAAAGTAAAAGCCTTTTAAAATTTTATTATAACTGAGGGAGACATTGGTCTAGATCATATTGAAAAAGACCACCTAAATCTGATAAAATTTCTGTTTTGAACAGACATTGCAATACCATAAGTCACTTATCTAGCTTTTCCAACACTATTTTAATGCAGGAGTAGCTAAATTACTGCAACAGTTTGCAAGAAATTATATGTGCTGCCCACCAGATCACTTCTAAAACATTGACATTTTAGGGAGAAGAAGACATTTATAGTACTAAAAAAAGACTTTCAATAATTTTATTGGACATCAATAAAATTATTTCTAGGGTAGCATAGGACTTTAAGCAGACAAACATCTGCAAATTCTAACTTGAATCAAACAATTTTTCAGTGGCTATTGAATTCCAAAAAATTCCAAAAACCCAAGTTGGTGTTTCAAGACTTTGGGCAGTGACTATAACTATTGACTTTCCAACCAAATTCATAGCCTCGACTTCCCATTAAACAGACTTTTTTGCACAATTTTTTATTGTAATGTCCTCAACTAACAAATTTCTCCTATTTTGTTAGAAAATAGAGTTCAGGTAAAAGTACAGAGCAGCCCAAGCATGGTACACGCTTCTTTTTAGACCAAGACAAAGCTGACAGATTTTTGGCCTCCTATAGTGATGAAGTCAAAGAAATATCTTCAGTATGTAGCCAAATCCCCTTTAATTTTTTTTTGCATATTCTACATGGCTATTGCTTAATACATATTTTGCCTGGGTGGCTATTAAAAATATCTTGCTTCCTTCTTTAACAATTTAACCTAGATAATGCTTTTAAAAGTTTTCTTTTTCAAAGGATTGTAGCAGTTTCAAGGCAGGATGCGACAAATTAAGATCTTCCATTCATGGCAGTAGACTTGATATAACAGGGGTGTTTGGATCTGTCTGCAAACATGAAGTTCCTGGTAGATTTTTAAACATGAAACACGGTGAGAGGTTCATATTAATTTCTTCTAAGATTTGTTTAGATACCTTATTTAGATAATGACATTGATACCTTATTTGTAATGTTCTTACTGCAGGTCAAAATGTATATAAATGTGATTTTTTTGTTTGATTTCAAAATTTGATATAATAGTAATTATCACCATCATGAACATAATAACGTCCTTCATCTATGCTAAGAGGCCTTGAACCCTCATATTTTTTAGCAACTTCAATTCATTAAAAATCTCTCTTTTCTTTCGTCATCACAATATTTCTACCTCTATTCTTCTAAACATCCCTTAAAATATAGGAATTTTTTCAGGCTTGCTTACCCCATCTTCGTTATCAACTCCTATTTGCAAGACTTCAAGAACAGAAATTTTGGAATCATTTATGACATTTCCTGTTTATTGTCAAAACACATAAAGGTAAGTTATGTACTTATTGTCTGTGTTGGTTTTTTACCTAAATGTAATACATAACATTCAAATGATCCACTTTTATCTTTTCTGATACAGGTGATTAGGGACTCCTGGCTCATTCAAATCATATTGTAGGGTTTTAAGCATTGTTTAATGTTTCCACTGCCTAAAATATTTTTTGCATGTCTAGAAATAAAATATCCAAATTGTTATGTTTTTTAGAAAAAAAAGATGGATGATGAGTTCAAAAATTGCACATTTGTAACTCCAGCTTGGCATGCTTATGCACATGTTGCATCATGTCAAGTAATTTTCAAATGCTATTTATATAACTCTTTGTCATTTACAATACAGAAGCAGTTTGATATGTTTTTGTTATTCCAACATTGAGCATATTCACATTCATATCAATCATCAATGTTTGGCATGTTAAATAAAGATTTACACAAAACCTTTCTGCGAATTGTAAATGTATTTTCCCCCATCTCAGTCCATGAAATCTGCTGGCACGCTGATGAGTGTACCCTTTGAAAAGTTAAGATGTTGAGATTTTTATAAACTAAACATTTTTGATAAAATTTTTGAAAACAAAATATTTTAACTGAAAGCATACATGTTTTTAAAGATTGATTATGCCCCTTGAAAACGCTTTGGACATAACACACACACAGAAAATTAATTAGAAGAAAATAATAAGAAATATAAGAAATAAAATTTAAAGGAGGAATAGACAGTCAAAAAGTGATGATGCTTTTCCAATAAAAAGCAGGTCTAGTCATGTTTTGATGCATTCACATATGATCACACACCTAATATTACCAGGGCTTCCATTTGATCTTTTGTTTTTTATTATTTCCTGAGCTTCATTTTCCAAACTCTTGTAAATGAACACTATGCATTTCAAACTAGATAGAGAAGTAACTACAGTTGTTATCTGCAGATAGCAAATGCTATTCGCTACTATCCAAAGTTTGGACTGACAGATGGTAAAGGAATGGAAAGATTGTGGTCATACCTGAGACAGTTCACAGCAATTACAAAGGAAATGACACCATCTCACAGAATTGATCTTTTAAGTGATGCACTGATATACTTTGCTCAAAAGAAGAACAGTAGCATAGGTAATAGCTATTTGTATGTTTGATGTTTATATCTCTAATGTTCATTTTGTTCACTTTGTTTGCCAGAAGTTTACTCTTTCTTATATTATTGTCTGTTGAAGTGAAGCTTGTTAAGTGAAGTAGAATTAAAGCAGTTGCACATTGAACATAACGTTTTCTTGCAAGGAAATCATTTTAGATATTGAAGCAAGGAGCCAAAAACTATATTTGTTTTTTTCTTACTTTAGAATGGAGCTTATCAGATCGTTTGTCCAAAGCTAAAAGTGTTTTGAAAAGCAGTCAAGCGGAGCTACAACAAATATTCGACAACCTTGGAGGTATTCTATTTTTTCTTTATTGATACTGTATTAGAAAATATGATTTCTTTTCTTATTTAACATCATTTTTGCGTCATATTCTTAGCTTAATTATTGAAATATATGCTTCCATTTTGTGTGAATTTTATATGATTTTTAACAAGGATGTTTTATTACTTCGTTAATATGACTTAAGTTTGAAGATAAGAAGAAAGAATAAAATAGCACATGCTAAGGTTTCATTTCATTGAAGTTTGAAATAAACTTATTCAATGGTGGTAGCTAAAAGTTTGATTTATTGGTGTTCATTCCAATCTGTAGACAGAGTTGAGGATTCTGAGGTCTATGCTTGGCATGATAGGGAAAAGTCACTGGCTCTTGCAAGGACAAAGGGAAAAAGTATATTGTTTCTAAAATTTTGATTTTATCTTTCCATCTAAAATTTTGGTATGGTAGGGTACAATACTGGTACATCTTACTGGTACTGGTACATTAGGGTACATCTAAAACTCTGTCACAAATGCATTTTGTTGTTATGTTCATGGATTTGTATCCAAGTTTTTTAATTCATCTGCTCTGCTATAGAAAATTTCAAAAGAATAAAGAAAAGAATCAGCTGCTGTTGGCATTTGTTTGGATATTTCCAGAAATGATTATTTTCTCCCTTTTAGAGGCTGAGTCCGATTGGACAATGAAATATGTTCAGAAGCTACTTGATATAGAGACAGCAAGGTAATTTCCTTGTTATTTGATTATTGAGATTTCAACCATATTAGCCATGCTTTAGATGCTTAATGTTGAAGTGTGATCATCATCATTCAATTAATTTTTGCTAATTTTCATTTTGCATTTTAGTACTTTGTACAAGCAGTGTACAACATCTGATCAGATGGTAAATGTAAAACATCATATTAACGAGTGAGTGTTTGAATTTTGTATTTCTTTTTGCTACTTTGACTGTTGTTGGGGAAGCATTTATTAAATGGCATATATCATAATCAAATTCTGCTGGTTTCTGACCAAGTAACTCTCACACATTTCGCATCAGTTTTAGGCTCTTTGCTCTTGCCCATTTAGGGACATTAACTTGGCAGCTATGGAATGCAATCTGGATCATACACAAACAAACATTGATAAAATCTTGAACCAGAGCAGTCCATGTGACCCTTGAGATATATCTCAATATTTTAAGTATTTCAAGTTTGGATTTCATTTTTCCTGGTAAATTTTTTTGGCAAAAGAGTTGTTGGCAGGTAAGACATTAGATATACCTCAATAGCAATTCAGGTATGGAAAGTTTCAATTTCAAGCTTATGTGTCAGCACCCCCTGATAAGAGCTTGAGATATAGTTTTTCACGAATTGGAATATGGTTTTGGATGTCTTCTGTGTGCAAATGTAATTTGCATTTACTCATAAATATACTTAACTCACAAGGTATAAACCCTATATTGATGGTAGAAAAATTCATGAAATGAGGCACCCCATGTAAGCTAATGCCAATTGGTAATAAATACCAGAACCTGACACAGCATGCTTGGTTAAAACAAAGGAACCTTTTTAGTCAGAAAACTTCATAACCGCTGACTTTGCAAATCGAGTTTGGTTTCATAATAGTTTGGTTCAAAAATAGCACACTACTTCTATAAGAAGTAAAAGTATGCAAACAAATGTTATCTTGATTAATTTTCAGCTAATATTTTCCCTTTATAGTTTTTGGCCTTAAGGTCTACCTTGTGATATCTAGGTAAGGGACTGTTTATGCTAGCCTGTAATACTTCTTATTATGTTACACAGGCTTGATAAAGAATTGAAATCTATTGAGAGAGCTAGAATTGTTACGTCTCGATGGAGCAACAGCTCACCTCAATTCAGCGAGTCACTAAGGAAATTAGAAGATGACAAGAAAGTAGGATTGCTGGCAAAAGCAAGAATTGAAGCAGTTGAGAGAATTTTTCATTTGAGTTTGAAAAAGAGATACTCAGGCAATTATTTAGAAAAATCTGTTTCTTATTATTGTCATTTGTTTGTCACGTTTTAGTTTGTCTATCACTTTATATTCACTACTTAGTTTATGTTTCAATTTAGTTGAAGATTGCTTGTCAAAGAAGGCTGTTGGACGAGGGAGCATCTTTCTTTGCTCTTTGAATCTTCCAGTTTCTGTAAATTCTGTTTGTATTTTTAGCTGGACAGAAAATTCCAAAGCAGATTGAAAAGCAAATAAAAAGAGCAAACGGCCGATTAACTACCACCGTGAAGAAGTACAACGACTGTGATTTCAAATTTCGAGACAGCAGGCTGCCAAATACTTCGACATTCAATGATGTAAAGGATCCTGAATGTCAACTTTATGATGACATCAATGAGGATGTTGAGGTTAAGATTTGCATAATATTTTCTAAATGACTACATCTCTCTACTACTTCTTTAGTTAACTGCAAGGACAGAAATCGATTAAACATTCCACTACAATTCCTGGGCAATCAGATCATTAATGTTTAATCTCCAGTGTCAGATGTTGTTGCTTTGCATTATCGTTATATGACGACAAAAATAGATCCGCATTTGAAGGAAGGTATGAGAATGGTGATTCATAGGAATTTTTACCAACTATTTTAATGCTATTCACGCTTTAAGTAAAGCTTTCAAGAGCACAGGCACTTAGATAAGTGTATAAAAAGGGTCAGAACCTTACAATTATGCAGAATGTTTTTACCGTTTTCAGAAAAATAGGTTCATAAAAAAAATGTAAGCCACCCTTGATTATAAGCCGCACTATCAAAACGATGCGGAAAAAACTGATAAAAACCTTATTGTGTACCAAAAATTGACATTAGAAGTTCAACCAACGACAGTATCGTGCTACATGGATCATTAATAGCATCCAAAAGTATTTCTTCCTTATTTTCTACTTTATCACCCTCAGCCTCAAGCTATCAATAAAGTTTGCAAGGATCTTGATAAAACAATGTAAGCCATCTTCGTTTTAAAGTCGCCCTTGATTATGAACCAAAGCAAAACGTGCCAAGAGATGATGATAAGCTAATAAATACGGTAGTTGTTGACTAGTTATATCTCTTTAGCTTAAGTCCTATACTGTATTTTAATTAAGGTATTCGTTTCTCGCACATTGTTTTTTAGGGAGCCTCCCAGTCTTTTCTACCATCCAGTCAAAAGAAAAAGATTGTAACTCTTACGTTCTTAAGGGATCGAGCAGCTTATGAAAGTCAGTTGGTAGAAAAGGACTTCAATACGTTAACTGCTGCATTGACAGAAAAGTTATGTCTTGTGAAGAAGGCTATACAGAATATTGAAGCCGAATTTCAAGATAGCGGCAGGAAAACGTCGTTTGGGATTGGGTCATCATCTTTGCTATGGAAGAAAGCGATACGAATGGAAAAAAGAATAGAGCATTGTCGTAATTTATTTGGCAACGATGATCACGAGAACGTCGTTGCCCTGGAAGGTGATGAAACTGAGGAAGCATATGATTATCAGGTTAATCTGCTTGATGACCAAACGGACTATGAAGATACTCTCACCGAGCAACTTTGATAACAATGAAGTGAAACTATTTTGATTAGTTTTCATGACGTGCTTTGCTTTTGTAAATAAGTAACCCTGCCTAAATAAGTAATTTTTCCTTTTTCTTACAAGATTTTCAGATACTGTTGTATCTAAAAGTATCTGTTCGGAACATGTGTACCCTTGTTCAAGCCTGTACAGCTCAGCAAATTCAGCAAAAAGTTCAATAAAAAAGAACCACTGAATCCAAAGAAATAAGCTCTTGTTTTTGCGATTGAATTGACAATGATTTCTTTTCACGATTGATTGAAGTAAAGTGACATGATTGATTTTAATGTAGTCATTGATTGATTTGTTGGAATAGTAGATATTCCACCCAAAAAGAAAACTATTTTATATATAAAATCTTTCGATATTGCATATATAAACTGTAAGAATATGAATAGCCCCCCCTGTCTGTAAAAATCACCGGCTATAATAAACATACCTACCTAATGATTTTGGTTAAGTAGGCAATGTTTTACCATGTACTTGTATATCATTTGTTATTTATAGCCAATTAATTTTGTAGTTTCTAGCCCTGAGGTTTTTGCCTGTCTCTGCATCCTTTTATAATTATAAACCTGATTCCATTTTGGAAACAAGACCATCATGGAGATCCGAGGATTGGTAGACCTAATATAATTTTCAAGCCTATATATAAATGTGTTACCCCTCGAATCCCTAAGTCCCGTGTGAGTTTTTGGTTAGAAAAGTCATAATAAATTAACAACTGGCCAACATGCACTAATGTGATGTGTTCCGTCGAAAAGTAACATCAATACTCATAAACGTGAAAAAAATGAAATTTAGGGACAAAATGACTTTTTTTAAAATTATGAGGATTGATGCCGCTCTACTTGGGATACATGGTAGGGTACATGCACTAATGTGATGTGTTCCGTCGAAAAGTAACATCAATCCTCATAAACGTCAAAAAATGAAATTTTGGGACGAAAATGACTTTTTTTTAAATTATGACGATTGATGCCGCTCTACTTGGGATACATTGTAGGGTACATGCACTAATGTGATGTGTTCAGTCGAAAAGTAACATCAATCCTCATAAACGTTGAAAAAATGAAATTTAGGGACGAAAATGACTTTTTTTAAAATTATGAGGATTGATGCCGCTCTACTTGGGATACATGGTAGGGTACCTGCACTTATGTGATGTGTTCCGTCGAAAAGTAACATCAATCCTCATAAAAGTGAAAAAAATGAAATTTAGGGACGAAAATGACTTTTTTTAAAATTATGAGGATTGATGCCGCTCTACTTGGGATACATGGTAGGGTACATGCATCAATCCTCATAAACGTGAAAAAAATTAGTTTAGGGGGATGGTTTGTATTTTTATTGTCTTTTGTTTAATGAGCTGAAGATATTGAGCAATACTGTTTATCCTCGAATTAATTTATTTCTCTGTTCGAGTTGGGACACATAAATATACTTATAGTAATGGCAGTGGCGGCTTGTGTATTGGGGCTAGTGGGGCTCAGCCCTACCAAAGATTTCCAAAAATAAGCTTTAGATTAACATTTATAAATATTTTAAACGTAAATAAAATCAACGTCCATAATTAATTTAGCACTGTTCACTAATTTTGTTGTTTCGAGTTTCACTGTTTGTCCATTCTCTAGTTTGTTTAGGTCCCACTGCCCGGGGTTCTTTCGAAAACTGAATAAACACGCGTATCAGAAAACATCTCCCGAGCTTTTGGGGCTAGCCCCAAACTAGCCGAGAATGCACCAATCAAATGCCTCTCATGACTCGACTTTTCAATTGATGACTGCTTCTGATTGGCCAATTCTGCTCGAATCTGCATTCCTTTGGGGCTAGTTGAAACTAGCCCCAAATAATTCAATTCAACCGTAGCTGAATTTTTGTTGTTGTGATGTGATAGGCAATGTTGATCTGTGGAGCGCAGCAGAGTGGCGTGTATTCGATGACTCGCATTTTTAGCTTCAAAACTTTGAAATAAAGCATACAAGTTAGATCTTTATCAGAATAAATTTTGCCGACCTTGAAATAAGCTCATAATGGGAAGGCTAGGCAGTAGGCCTTCTAATCTTTAATGGCATAAAGCATATTTCCAATGCAGGCTTTCAACTGGAACAATTTTAGCTTCACGGCATATGAAAATTAATCAATTAACAGTTTGAGCTTTTTATTCTTTAAAATTTTTTTAATTGCAATGATATGCAATGCAAAGGATATCGTCTACGGGTTGGCCATATTGAAGTTGTCTATGTTTTTATGGACATCCTCCGCGAACTCCCCTTTTTGTGAAGAGAGAAACGGTCCAGCGGACTTGAATAAATAAAGTTGCGCACACCAACATTTCACATAGTTTATTACTTTGCTTATTAAAAATTTATACATGATTAATAGTGGCACTTGTTTTTTTTCAATCAAAACTTTCAAAATGATGACAGCCTTGTTGATTAGAGGTAGTAAAGAATGGAAAGGCCTTTTATTATTTTTGGCGTTCCGTGTCTATGGCATAGAGTTCTTAACTCTATGGCTATGGCTTCAGATTTCGAATATTACGTCATCAGCCCCACCAAAAATTTACCCCACGAGCCGCCACTGAGTAATGGGGAACATAAATATACTTATACGGGTGAGGGCTCATAAATATATAGGAAAAATCAAGAAGACATTTTTAAAAGACAACATATGTTCTAGTAGGAATTAATTTATTAACATTTAGTTAATTATTACCAAAATTATGAATTTTTGTGGTAATTCAATAAAACACCAAAAGAAGCAGCAGCGGGGGCTTTTTCCCAAGGATTCCCAAATACCACGGAAGGTGTGAATTGATAGTTAAACAATGTTGGACATAATTTTAGATCACAACAGCCTGGAAGATGAATTTGACTCTGTTAAGGATAAAAATTCAATGGAATGTGTGAATTGATAGTTAAACAATGTAGGACATAATTTTAGATCACAACAGCCTGGGAGATGAGTTTGACTCTGTTGTGGATAAAAATTCAATGGAAGGTGTGAATTGATAGTTAAACAATGTAGGACATAATTTTAGATCACAACAGCCTGGGAGATGAATTTGACTCTGTTGTGGATAAAAATTCAATGGAAGGTGTGAATTGATAGTTAATCAATGTAGGACATAATTTTAGATCACGACAGCCTGGGAGATGAATTTGACTCTGTTGTGGATAAAAATTCAATGGAAGGTGTGAATTGATAGTTAATCAATGTAGGACATAATTTTAGATCACGACAGCCTGGGAGATGAATTTGACTCTGTTGTTGATAAAAATTCAATGGAAGGTGTGAATTGATAGTTAATCAATGTAGGACATAATTTTAGATCACAACAGCCTGGGAGATGAATTTGACTCTGTTGTGGATAAAAATTCAATGGAAGGTGTGAATTGATAGTTAATCAATGTAGGACATAATTTTAGATCACAACAGCCTGGGAGATTAATTTGACTCTGTTGTGGATAAAAATTCAATGAAAGGTGTGAATTGATAGTTAATCAATGTAGGACATAATTTTAGATCACAAAAGCCTGGGAGATGAATTTGACTCTGTTGTTGATAAAAATTCAATGGAAGGTGTGAATTGATAGTTAATCAATGTAGGACATAATTTTAGATCACAACAGCCTGGGAGATTAATTTGACTCTGTTGTGGATAAAAATTCAATGAAAGGTGTGAATTGATAGTTAATCAATGTAGGACATAATTTTAGATCACAAAAGCCTGGGAGATGAATTTAACTCTGTTGTTGATAAAAATTCAATGGAAGGTGTGAATTGATAGTTTATCAATGTAGGACATAATTTCAGATTGACAATGATTACTACTTTATAAGAGGAGGGGACTTGGCAGAAGTCAGTATTTGAAAATATCTTTCTGTTATCCGACATGGAAGAGACTAAATTATCAGGACCATCTGTAAGCAAGTACGTATATTTTTAGCTTTGTTAGTTAGAACTTATTTAATTTCTTAAAGAGAGATTTCAACAGTCGCACATTCTTCTTTGTTTTTTTATAGCTCATAGCTTGCTTGAGATCATTATAAAGATTAAACAATCCTCTATCACTGTTTAAAGTAATTCTCTTTGTTTTAGATCTAGGTTAGAGGAGGCACTGAAGCCATACTGGGAAGATGGTATGACTGATCTCAGTTCGGAGGAGGGGAAAAGGATTGCTGCTGTTGCCCTCAAAGAAAATGAGTGGATATCAAGGAAACAATTGAAGGTTATGCTGCCTTTCAAATAAGTTGTAATCAATCCACAAACTGTCAACGCCTAGGTAATGTTTCGTCAAAGAATGGCAGGATTGCATCAAATTATAATAACCATTTTTGTTTGTTTTAGACTTGGATCAGTAACTATAAAAAAAAGCTCAGTGGCAAAAAACAGATGAAAACAAAGCCAAGCAAAATAAATTTGAAAACAAGAAAGAGGTCTGCTAAAGATATGTTTCAAGAGGAATATTTAAGAGGTGCAGGCTTATTTTCTTAAGGGTTTTATAGATATTGATCTGCAGCTATGACATATCATACAATTACATATTACCCATAAGAAAGAACAACCTTTCCAATTGTTACAAAACATGCATTTCATTTTCAATTGTTTATACACTCATAAGCTTTATTGCTATTGTATGACTAGGATTACTCTTCTTATTCCTTTTTAACATATATTCATTATCACAACTTTATGTTTTACACATCAAGTCTAAAATACTTTGTTATTTTATTTTCCTTAGAGAACAAAGGGAAGTTGACTGGAATTGGATGTAAGTGGGAAAAAGTTAAAGAGGATATGACACGAAAATGCAAAATTCTATTATAGATCAAATCCTTGATGCTGATTTCAAAAATTAAATCGAAAAATGCTAATTCATTATAGATTTCCTGAAATTAAGGGATTTAGCCATGAAATTTTGTGAAATTCATGTCCCAGAGGACTGGGTCGGGTTTTGAGGACGTACGCCCGGACGTGACGTCAGGTGTTGGACATATTGTCGAGGGTAAAGGTTTGAAAGCAAGTACGGTGTATCGATTATTGTGAAGGCACAATTTATAATTATGTCTACAAGCGAATCAGGCTCTTCTATGACATCGGATCATTCTGCAAGTGATGAAGAACTATATGGAGCTTATGGCGGAGATTATCTGCCCTACTTAAACGAGCCTTTGGCTAGTACTGACGAAGAAGGCGATGATGGGCCTAGGCCTAATGACGGAGAACAACCGAGGTGAAGATGGGATATCTCCAGCAACTTTTCGCGAAAGACAGACGGGGAATCTAAGTGTAGATCAATGGTGAGTGGTTTTTGTTTTCGCTGTTTTTTAAATAGTTGAAATTATCCAACCTTTCATGTCGGTACAACGATACAACTGCAGCTCTTTTTAAAGTGTGTGTGCGGCAAATGCTCAGCAGCGAACTTGAAAAGTGCCAGAGAGTACCGTTGCTGCCATGAAGTGGCACCTGCTTATGGAAAAGTCGTTTTTAACGGCCAATCCGATGAAATAAAGTGTGTGACCCTTCATGAAGACTACAGGGCTTTTACAAATATAAATGTCCTTAGAAACGTTGGTCCATTGCTTCGGAAAATAGATGGAAAGCCCTACAAGAAAAGGGCAAATGTAACAAAAAATGAGTATGTACAAAGTTTTATTGTCAAGTTTAGGCTGAAATAGATAGACATCAAATTTGATTCTTTTTGTTGATTCATAATTGATCTCTTTCAATGAAAGAAGTATGTGTACATATATAATATAGTATATACTAGTATGCTAATTTATACTAATAAACTAACATTTTATACTGATACTACATATATTGCATAAATATATATATATAATAACTAAACTTTTGTTTCACAAAAAGCAGAAACGTTATAAAGAAAAATGTTTTAGAAAGACCATGGCAAAAGACAATTTATTATTTTTCTGGAATGCATTTCGACCTTTCAACGAGGAATCATCAGCCTATTTAAATATCTATGTGAGTTCTATGTTAATTTACTGTAGACATCTCTAATTTGAAGTTCATTTACTGAATATATATATATATCTAAATATCTGAATATATATATACATATCTAAATATAGTATATAAATTTATATATGATATATATATATACACATATCATAGATTGAAGAAAGTAAAACTACATGGTTTATCTCTACAAGCCTGTTTTGTGAGTAACTCACTCTTCAGGAGATCTCCTGAAGAGTGAGTTACTCACGAAACAGGCTTGTAGAGATAAACCATGTAGTTTTACTTTCTTCAATCTATGATATATCACGCTCTACGTGCTAACTATTGAGCACTGTGCTACGGAAGTATCAAAAGACAAATTTCTATATATACACATATATATATTATTGGTATTTTTTTTCTGTATCAGGAATCTTTGTGCAGTTTCTTATCGCTGGTTAGCACGCTGGATATTTGGATAGATGGGATGGGACAATACACGGCCTCTGCCTGCATGCATTTATCATAATCAATCAATCAATCAATCAAAAACTTTATTAATGTGTCAAAAAATATTTAGCTTACAAGCTAATTGGGGACACAACGAAAAAAGTATATAAAGTTAAATTAGAGCATAAAATATGAAATTACAGTATAACTATTAAAACATAAAAATTTCTAAAAATCCTATGTACAACTAAACTAAAGTCTACAGTCTAAAAGAGTTTCTAAGTCCATTTTTCTTATACATTTCTTGAATTGGGTTATTGTTGTCACCTCCTTGATAGCTCTCTTCAATTTGCTCCACAGATATGGGCCAAAGTATCTTACTGAATGTTTTCCTTCTTTTACCGTACGAAATTTCGGAATTACAAAGTTGCTGTTTCTCAATTCATAGGGAGTTTCTTTTACTGCAAACAAATCCTTTAAAAAGTGTGGGGTTATGCCGTTTTTAACTTTATACATAAGTATGGCAATGTCCTGAAGTCGCCTATTCTGGAGAGATGGCAGGTTTGCTTTCATAAGGAGTTGTGCATATGGCGTAGACTTATCATTATAAACAACTCTAAGGGCTTTCTCTTGGAGTCTCTCTATCTTTCTTTTATCTGCTACTTTGCAGAAGTGCCAGACTGTACTGCAATATGTTAAGTGAGAGAGAATGGCTGACTTGTAGATTGTTAGTTTCGCATTGGTAGGTATTATATTACGAAATCTAGATAAGACACCTATTCTCTGACTCACTCTCTTGCACAAATTGCTGATATGAGTGCCAAAAGTTAGCTCATCGTCAACCTCAACACCAAGCAGCTTAAGGCATCTTGTTTGTTCCGCTTCATTGTTTTCATCAGCCATCACTTTTATCTTTATTTTGCTTTTCTTGCTATTTTGAATCACCATCGCTTGGTATTTGTTTTATTTTCTTTCAGGATTGATATGTCAATTTATGGTTATCTTCGGATGTTTTTTTAATCATTTTTGCTGTTGTTTTTTATTTTTATTTTATGATTTTTTTTTATTGTTGGTTTATTATTATTTTTTTTTTTTAATTTTTTTTTTTTTTTGCTTTTTGTTTTTTTTTTTTTTTTTTTTTTTTGTTTGTGTTTGGTTATTTGTTGTTTTTATTTCTTTTTTTTTTTTTTTTTTTTTTATTATTTTTTTTTTTTTTTTTTTTTTTTTTTTTTTTTTTTTTTTTTTTTTTTTCTTTATTTTTTTTTTTTTTTTTTGGTTTTTTTTTTTTTTTTTGTTTATTTTTATTTTTTGTTTTTTTGTGTATTTATTTTTATTTTTTTTTTTTGTTTGTTTTATTTTTGATTCGTTCTTTTATTTTGTTTTTTTGTTTTTTTTTTTTTTTTTCTTTTTTTTTCAGTGTTTTTTTGTGAGTTGTGATTTTTTGGTTTTTGTATCTTTTTTTTTTTGATCATGTTTTTATTTATTTTTTTTTTTTTTTTTTTTTTCTTTTGTATTGTTTTTTTTTGTGTTTTAGTTTTTTTTTTTTTTATTTTTTTTTTTTTTTTTTTTTATTTTTTTTTTTTTTTTTTTGTTTTTTTTTTTTTTTGGTACCATTGTGAGCGTCTTGATGGTCTTTATTCAAACGCATTCAACTTTGTCATTACCGTTACTCTCCGGAATAAATGATCGTGATGATCGTCGGCATCACCACACATGCTAATCTGAGAGTTCATTATTTTTGAAGACCAAGTCAGTTTTTGAAAGATATTCAACAACATGGGACCGAATGCTGATCCTGTGGGATCCTCTTCGTTCGTTGCCCTCATTTCATGTCTTATATTGCTAGTTTGACCTATATTCTGTCTTGTTCAAAGTAGGATGTTATTTCACAGTACTCAGAAGAATCTTCGCAGGCATAGGAATTGCAAGTCTTTGTTTAGCAGGAAAGACTTGGAACCAGAATCGAAAGGCTTTGCTCTAGTCGTGTTGAAGAATGGCTCGTGTATCTGTTTATTGTCAGGGCGAATTTTCCAAGTCCTCAAATCATCCTCAGCAGCGAAGTTTTATGTGCGTTTGCTCTGTGATGTCTGTCAAAGCACGGGCTGTAGATGTTTACGAAAATGAATGTGTAGCCTTGCTCAATGGCAACTTCTCAAAAACTTTGTCAACTGCATATGAGAACTGGTTATTGGCTGTTAAATTTTTCATGACGTCCTTATATGCTTTCTTGTGAAACTGGTGCCCATTTCCTTTTTCCACTCTGATGGGGCCACTTTCCTTGGTGATGACTAGGTGAGATTATCATAATGAGGTTGGAGATGCGAGTGCTGAGTTTCACACATTCACTTTAGAAATTCAGGGTTATTCCATCGCAAATCCAGTGCTTTATTCGGTCTAAGGCGATGACAGAGCTTTATTCGACCACTTTTTTGGGAACAGGAAGACGAGATTTCAATTACACACTGACACATAGTTGTCTTTATTGCCAATGACACCTTTGGATGCATATAAGTAGACTCTGTTCTTAGCCTGTGTAACTTATCTCATGTGACACATCTTGTAAAATAAGTCAACGAATGTTTGGAGTACTAGCTTCGGGTCACTAATAATTCTCAAATTGTTCACTTTAAAGTCTGATAGCCATTTGTATAGAAGACTTAGATTGGACTGTAAAATGGTCTAATGCTTAAAAGGAATTAGCTCGTTGAGTTTGTTTTAACATTTTCAATTCATGGATAATTTCTCCAATATGCCTTTATATGTGCGTTATTCTCAGGTGGTGTGTGGGCGTGTATGGCGTCGCATTGATGTATTCTAAGTTTTTTGTTTATTACTTCATTTTTTCTCTGCATATTGATTTTGCATACCTTCTCGTTCCTGATGTTTTTTTCCATCCAGAGTCATGTAAGAGTACATCTTTCTCTCTTACCTCATCCTTTAATGGTAGGTGTTTGTCAATGATTTGGCTTATTAATTATGCCAAAAATGGCATTTGTCGTCAACTGAATCGAAATGTCTCTGAGTCACTGCAGGGCATAGTACAATATCTTTGCTTGAGTTCTTATGGTTCAGGATCTTTTTACTAGGAAGGTATAAATTTCCTTATCTGTTGGATACAGTGTATATCTATCAGGCAAATTGTATAAGTAATCACTTTAAACCGAGTCAGCCTCCCCTATAGGTATCTGGGAATTGTGAGAATTACATCAATTAAATGTTTTGTGTTTTATCAGTGTCTGCTGTCTGGCCTTTTCAATCTATGGCATTGCAGATTATGTACCTTTCTCAATCAAAGTATTATTCCTCTCTGTATCTCTCTTGGTTGTCAGTTCTCGTTTAAATCAGGATCCCTAGGAACCTAAAATTTATTTCCCTGCATTGCTGCCCAGCCTAATAATGTCATTTATGCTGCTTTCTCGACTTAAGGAAGTGTTCCATTGATCCAATTAGGCTTTTGGTGGTCTGTAAAAGGTCAGAAGAACAGATTAACTTGACTTCCAGGTAGACTCTATGCCTACATTGGCTAGACTTGTCGAATTTTTCATAGCATTTTTTTTGGAGTTTTTCAAATTTTATAGATATACTTGCTCTGATTTACATAGGCTTATGCTCCTCCACCTTTTTCTATTTCCTAAAGAATCCTGTAACCTCTAGTTTTGAATTGTTCATCTTGGGTATGGTGTTGTCAAAGTTTCGGTCTCGTGTATAAATAAGAATTTGCTGCACTCAGGGATTGGTTCAGTTATCTTTAGTGTCTGTCTATTTTAGTTTGTATGCTGTTATATTTGATGTGCAGATTAGCACATTTCTATTGTCCTTGTTACGCAATTTTAAGAGGCCATTTCTTTCGCTGTTTCTGTTGAGTCCTATCTAATTGTTGAAAACTGTTGATACAAATGTTTCCATTAAACATGCATTCCCAGTGTATCTCCATTGGTCATCTAGAGTATTTGACTGCAAAATGGAAAAATCTGTGCAGAAGTTGCTGCAATTCTGCGATAGGTAACAAACACTTTACTTTCCAAGATTGCTGTTAGTACAAGTAGGGAGTACCAAAGTTTTTGAATTTTCCTCAGCGTTGTTGTCAGTTACTGTATACATCGGCCGATATGGCAAAGCTGGGCACCGTTCAAGTGCAGGGTTAAGGCTCGGATCGTGTTTTTGCAACCTTGCTCTATGGGAAACAGAGCAAGAACGCTTAACAGGTTCCGGGTTTGGGTGTAATCACAGCATGAGTAAAAAGGTATTCATTGTCTTGTAATCTGGAAAAGTAAGGTTAAGAATTTTCCCTATAACGGAAGTCCGGATTTGAGAAAATTTGCCGTTTGCTCTTTTGGTCTTTGACTTAGGCATTAATTTATAACGATGACTTCTGGCAACGTTGTGAAGTGGAAGGTGGTTTTGTTAAACGTCCTATTTTCCCAGAAATAACCTGTTGTCGGGTTAATTGATGCTAATGGAATGGTGTCATGTGGTGCAGCAATGCAAATAGTGGTTGAAATAGCACGTCCAGCAATTACAACATCACGCTCCTGACAAAGCTGAGTGCGAGAACAAAATTCTAGCCGCCATTACTCTCATTGGCCGTGAAAAGTCCGTGAAAGTAAGGCGTTTTAGATGTTCACGTGGAAAAGGTTTAATGTCTAGAAGCCAGAATGATTGGATAATAATAAATGCAGAAGAAGTAACTAATAACATAGATTATCTTTATACCAAAAGCATTTGTATTTTAATTTCATGCAGTGTATATAATTCTTATATGTTCATTAGCTTTGCATAAGCTTTAGAAGAGTCCTTTCATCGATGGACCACATTCTCGTTTTGCATGAAGGGGCTTTCTTTGTTCGACCACGCATCAGCTGACTGTTGCACGCTTGCTAGCCTACCAATCTTCTTGAGTTTGTATTGATCATTTTCTGGTAAGATAAACATTGATATTAAATTTAGAATAAAAATGAAAATTTTTATC